TGGGACAGGGAGGGGGTGATGCTACTGTAGTCGAACGGTGGGAGGGACGTGCAGTTCAGTTTTTGGGCACACATACGGTGCTGCAGATATTTTTAGGTGTAGTACCTCTTCGGGCTCTTGGATACCTTTTTCTCGTTATATGTGTGCGTGTTCTTTAGATCCTCAGATGGCTCTAGCACTTTCGTGACCANCGCTTGGATCCAGGACAACAACGGCGTCTCCGATGCGAAGTACACCGTCACGGAGTCGTCCTTCGTCCAGAGCCACGTCTTCCTCGACTACCTTCAAGACCTCCGCCAACAGCTCGATGCGCGCGGCTTGCAGGGCAAAACTGCCCTTGTGCTCGACGGCCACGCCTCGCACACGACCTTCGACGCCATCAGCTTGGCCATCTCCCTCGACATCGACGCATTCTAGCTCCCATCCCACACGTCGCACATCACCCAACCCTTGGATGTGGGTACGTTGGGAACCTTCAAGAAGGAGATCACCAAGGTTCTCACGGCCTACCCGCTGAAAAACGGGGGGAGGAGTCCGGTGAAGCGCGACATGGCTGGCGTGATTGCGGAGGCATGGAAGGGGGGGGGGGGGGAAGACCGAGGGCGGTCTGCTGTCTGCCGAAGATCACCTCGCTCAGGCCAGGAAGAACCAAGAAGCGAAGGAGGCAGCTTAGAAAGCAAAGGCGGCACGCGCGGAGGCAAGGGCAGCGAAGGAGGCCAATCGACCATCTGGAGCAGGTGGTGGGCGGGGCGGCGGGCGGGGCGGCGGGCGAGAGGGGGGGAGAGGTGGAGGGCGGAGCGGGGGGCGTGGCGAAGGACGGGGCGGGGAACAGGACGGAGGGCGGGGAGAGAGGAGCGTGAGGGTTGAGCTAAGCGGGACGCGGACGGCGATCAGGGGGCGCGGTGGCGGTGGGCGAGAGGGGCGTGGCAGAGGACAGGGTGGCCAGGACCGCACCGCTGGTGCTCGTGGAGAGCAAATGGGGGCGGGAGGGCGGGCGGAGGACGGGGTGAGAGGTGCTCCCGTTCAAGGAGGAGCGGGACGGCCGAGAGGGGCGGCGGTTCCCGTTTCCTCCCGAGGACGGCAACGGATCCCGAGACCAATCGTTGATGTTTAGACTGGGATAGATGCTTTACGGTTGTCGTTTTTGTCTGGACTATTGTTGTCTAGGCAGTGGATGAATTATTCGATAAAAGTAGAAGATGGCGTGGTTTGTGGGGGCATGTAGAGAGGATAGGATGAACCCCAGCAGCGCGGGTGGGGCGGGGGGGATGATACCGGGAAACCCGTGGATATGATAGTATTGTCCCCGGGCATGCATGTTTTTTTTTTTTTTTTGCAAAAGCGTTTCTTGTGACAGAACAAACCTACCCACCAAAGGGCGTCTTGTGGGAATGTAAGACGACTGTGAAACACGGGAAATGGCCTTGGGGTTCTTGCGGAGAATTCTTACAGTAGCGGCCAGGTCAAGGTATGTGTGCCTGTTTGAACGGGCATTACATCACATGCGCAACGTTTTTCGTCCTAATTTTTATGATCAGATTGCATCACCTGTGCATTTATCTCTTCGGTCTGGCTCTTTTCGTGTGCGCAGCACCGCCGCACGGTCAAAAATGGGGTAAAGTCCGTCCCCGATTTCAGCCGGAAAACCCGGGGATGTGAGGATATTGTCCCCGGGCGTGGATCGATTCCATTTTTTTTTTCTAAAACGGATATATGTTGCAACAGACGTATCTACACAAATATCAAATCATGAAACGCTTCAAAACGCGCGAAATCAGCCACAACGCTAAAGTGTTCGTTAGTTGGGAGGGGGGGTGTTTTCCTCCACGTTTCGCTAAACAATGGAATGCACTGCATCAGCTCTATCTCATTGACATGTGCGACTTTGTTCATTTTTGCAGGGGTAGCCTACGACATATCCTATCGTCCGCTACCTACAAATATTTCATAATCCTTTTCACGCCCGAGAACGAGCTGTTGGCGCGAGGGGTGACTTAAGCGTTCGTTCAATGGCCGGTTTACTCCATCTGCAAAGTCTGCTCTCTCCCTTCTCATTCGGAGGACGTGGCATGTCGTACTCATCCTAGGGACATGATAATACTACTCCTCCCGCCGGTGTACCTGCCCACCAAAACTAGTCGACTACTCGTTATATCGTTATAATTCGATGGCTGCAGCCGGACGCGCGAAACAAAAACGAGCCACGCACACAGCATCCTCGAACTCAAAACCAATTTCGAAGCACGTACAAAAGTAGATCGATTCAACACGTATTTTCACACATGGAACAAACACCGGACGACCATACGTCAGGCGTGTTCTCAGAAGACATGACCACCCCGGAACCGCAGTAACACATACTACCTGAATTTTCAACCGGAAGAAATTTCCTTTTAAAAAAAAATGGCCGATCAAAAAAACTGCGGGCACCTTTCTCTCTCTGACGAATACATAGAATCTACATATTTGACCATGTGTGCCTCGTAAAAATCACTCCTGGCAGCTTGTGAGTTGGGCCACAAACGTTACCAGGCGGAGACGTTTGTCGGGCGCCATTTTCCGATCCGTGCTCGAGGAACAAGAATTCTTAGACGGCAGCAAGGGGGCAGTTAACGTACACTACCGCTTGCTCTTGTGTCACACAACGGGGCTCGCTCCCTCACGATTGCTGCCGCTAGAAGAAAATGCTGTCGGCCGCCACACCTACTGTCTTACAAGAGCACGATCCCCCCATCGCAGACATGCGGCAAGGATACGCTGCAGGCTGCCACAAGCGGTGGTTCACCGCCGGCGCCCGAAACTGAAAATTTAAAACTGCAGCGTCAAGAACTAGAACATGTGGCAATTTCAGTTGAAACGAGAGGGTTTCCCCAAGCGAGTTGACCAGCCCTTGAAGCTGCTGCAGTCCGTTCCGCCGAAGAATCTACGTATATCAGAGGCAGCGCGTATGCACACGAGCACGCACGGGCATCGGGGAGGCGGGGGCGGAAAATCATGGTGAGCAATGAGCACGAGGGGATTGACCGCCAGAGCGAGGACACGAGTAGCAAGGGGAGTTCCGGCGCAACCATATTGTGGTCAGGATTTGTGTGCGGGGGGACGAGGACCGTGTGTAGCGCTACAGAGAGAAATCGCGTGGGAGTTGACTGCCGTTGTGGACCGCGTGGTCAAGGGCTATGAGACAAGCAGAGGGGCTGGAGAGCACGCCGGGGAGGAGGGAAAACTGTAGGTGTGGGAGACTTGTCAAACGTACCAAGTGGCGGAACACGCAGGTTCAGCGTTCGCGTGGAACGTTGGAAAACTGTGTCCAGCGACAATCCAGCGCAGAAGAACACGAGGCGACATCAAACGGTCGTCGACGGGACGACCGAAGAGAAAAACTCATGCAGACTGACGGAAGCATACAACCTGCAATGCTTCCATGTGTTAAGTGGGGTGCTATCTGAACTCCACAATTCCACCCTTTTCGCTTACATGGTCCTGGTGATGCCGAGCTTCCTCTGCAGGTACCGTTTCTTCTCCATGCTGGACCAGAACGGGATCGGATCCCATTCCAGGAAAGGGATCTTTCGACAAATCAATTAAAAATAAAAGAACCAGCGAGAAACAGACGCGCGCGCGCGAGCAAGGTGGCAACAAGGTTCCTCATCATTTCCGAGAAAGAATTAACGCGCCGTTGATGGTCACGCGCTCGCGGGCACGATGCGTATCACGGGTCCGCTCCGTGTTGCTTTTTCGGAAAAAATTACATGAGCTTTGAATCCTGGGCGCAGGTTTCGAGTTCTTCGTGGAACCGGTGCATCGCGGGCAAGCTCGTGGGCATGATGCGTACCACCACTCCGCTTTATGCTTTTTTTTCGGAAACGTAATAAAAAAAAGAAAATTTCGGAACAGTACTCAAAACTAAACCTCGTGTGCATGGGATCCTGGCCGAAGGAGTTGCCCCCCCCCGCTCATTGGTATCCCGCCAAAAGCGGGTGATTTTACTTTCCGGCTGATTTGACAATGACACGCTGTGTTCACCTGCTGCTATTGTTACGCTCTATGTTTACTCTCTCTCCCCCTCCGAGGCTTCAAGAAGAAACGATCGGGCGTCATCGGGCGTCGTCCACCAACAATAAATAATACTCCGGAGAACCATATCTGTAACAAAGACTCACAGAGACCACCGTCCAGCCCATCTTGGACAGGGTGCGGTGCTTGAGCACCATGTGCCCCAGCGGCCGCGCGGTGTTCTTGGTGAAGTGCGCCGGCCCGTCCACCTCGAGGGCCAGCTTTAGCCGCACCTTCGGGACCCGAGAAGTGCAAGGTGCGGGCCAGATAGCGGGCAAGAGAGAGAGACATACGGGGTGTTAGACTCGGGATGGCATGCTCTCCTGCAGTCATGAGCCGGTGCCCCTTACACTGGCCAGGTGGACGGTTCGACAAAACACAACACCTTGGCAGCAGTGCGAATGGAGAGAGAACGATTAACGTTTCCTCACGGCAGCACGGGCGCACGATGGCGTCAAGCAGCGCCATCGTTGGTTTCGGTGTTGTGTGGCGGGGCCGGGCGTTGGTTCTGAAGGGTTCGTTTGTTACCTTGCGTGGCCGTGTATTCCCCCCGAAAGCACAGCCAAGACAGAGCTGATGGGAGGCGGTAGACGCGGACACAGAAGAGTTAGAGATGCCATGGGAAAGACCAAGCATAAAAAACCGCGAACGCTTTCACGATTGCTTTCACGTCATTCCGGCACCGCAATCCGTCGATTGTACTCGTTGCACCACACAGACGGTTTCAATGCAGCAACGGAAAAAAATCTCCCGTGGTACCAACCAGGGGTGCTTGTCGGTGGGCGATAATGAACCACACCAAGTGGTATGTCTATACGGTATATGACGCAAGATATCACACCCCCTGGACCGATTTTCAAAGCTCAATTGCTCGGCAGGAAAACGCAGTGACGACGCCGAAAATGGTTGCGTTGGAACCGTCTCGTCGAGAGCCTTCCAAAAATATGTCAATAGGCATGATCTTCGCCGTGGAGTGATCCCGTTTCGAAAGTCTATGTGTCCACGGGGGGTGGTATCCTACGCCACCTACGGAACCTGGCGCCACAGCAGCAGCGGTGTCAGGCTCGCTCACCTCGGAAACGTATCGATCAACTTCGGCATCAGCTTCCGCGTAGAGTAATCGAGCCAATACATGAAAATCTATCTGTCCACAGGGGGTGGTATCTTACGCAACCATAGTGCCACAGCAGCAGCGGTTTCAGGCTCGCTTACCTCGGCGGGATCTGCCGGGTTCGGACCGGTGCCGGCGGAGAAGGACCTAAAGTCCCAGTCCTCGCTCGCCAGGCCGACGCCCACCACCTCGATGTCGATGTCGTGCTCCGACTCGTTCTCGTGCGATATCTGCATCAGGTCCAGAGTCTGGCGGCAAAGCGGGCGTGAGGAGTCGTGAGAAAAATCGGGCAAGCGAGTGCTTCTTTCACCCCATCTGCGGCGCAGCGGGTGCGGGGAGTCGTGCGGGAATTGTCTGCGTCTTTTCATCCCGTGAATTGTTGTCGGGTGCTCCACGTCTGTGCATGGGATTGTCTGGAGTCGTGAGAGGAATGAGTGCACTTCTTCACCCCATCGTTGCTTTCGCGCGTGCTGCATGAGGTGCATGAGGTGCATGACGTGCATGTGGCGCCCCGTGGGGTGGCTTTGGGGCACGACGAGATGTCGGGGAAAGGAATATCATCAAGCGCAATGAATGTCGTCTTTCCTCGCACATCTGTGACGTGTTTGCGTACCAAACCAATTGGCGAACATGATGCTTGCGTGAAAGGAGTGGTGCTACGGTAGGGGGTAACCTTATCTTACTGTCTACGTCAACCTATTGGCCTCGTCCTTTTTCGCCGTATAATCACCGCAACAGGCGTATTTCTCCCAAACGCGGAAGATTCACCCTTAAAGTACACCCCCTACCATGGCATCAGTACAAGGGGGAAAACTCATCAATGATATACTTGCAATCCTGTGCCGGTGATAGGGGGCCCCAGCATTTTTCGTGCTGGTCATCGAGACGAGAAAAATCGCCTCCGCAACGATATGGGCGTGCCCATCGGATGGGAGGTTTGTTGAACAACGACGTTCCGCCCGCATGTACAGATCAAGCTTTTCGCAAACAAAAGACAGAGGTGGGTAGGAAACGACGAAATACAGCTCTTTGCAGTACACAGCTGGTGGCTTGCCTGTGATACTTCGAGGTGAGAGCACGACGAGCGCTTCGTCCTCTGCTGATTGTCGGTCCACCGGCGCTTCAGGGCCATAAGGAACTCTCCGTCAAGCTCTTTCCACAGCTCGGGCATGTCCTTACCCCAGAGCAAGTACACCTGCAGAAAAATCGAAGCACCGGGGGAGTGCGGGGGGAAAAGGAAGGGACGTGGCGCCGTTCAGGCCAAACTCTGGAGAACGGGAGGCAATACCTCGAGACAGGATGAGTGTTTTCGTCCTTCCCGAAACACACCGCCACGAAACCCTCCGCCGCCTCTCACTTGCTAGCAAGCCGGGATAATGAGGAGTTCTTCGAGTGCACGCTTGGTACATGCGTGGTCAGCAGAACGGGTGAACATGTGACCGCTGTGGAATCGGAATACATGTGGTATCGCATGCCTCGCGGGTAGCCTGCGACTCCTGTGATTCAGTCATTAGTGTACGTAGCCCGTGGCCCGTTGTCGGCACTGGTGCCAAGCTCCTGAAGCGCACGCGCGGCACCTCTCTGAACAGCAACCAAACTGGTCATGGCCAACCTCTAATCAAGAACTAATTTCGTTTCCCCCAGACAACTCGCCCCCCTCTTGAGACAAACAGAAAACGAAAAGCTACAGCTTCGGCAACAAGCGTGGCTGCAGCAACAACGATGAGTGCACCCGAACTCAAGCGCCCAACCTGGTAGAGCTGATGGCTCTCGATCAACGTGAAGTTGCTCCTCTGCGCCTGAGCCGATCGGAGGAGCTCCTGGAGAAGCTCGACGTCGGCTTCGCCCATCACCGCCAGGGCCCACGCCAGGTTGGCGATCTCTTGCGCTCTCATCCCGGGACCGTCGAGCATCCTAACACGCAGCACACACAAACACGAACAAGACAAAGGAAGTAACGGGAACTCCCTTGGACACAACAGCGAGAGAGGGAAACGCACACCATATCAAACACAACGGCACACTGCGAGTGTACTCGGAACACGACAATACAACATACAAAAGCACGACATGAATCCAACCATAGCGAATGCTCAAGAGAAGAATTTCACTACTCTTTCCACGTTGGCGTATTCGTTTTGCTTCCTCACCGCTTGGCTTGCTTCTGCAAAGCGCTCCAGAAACGAGGGTCCCGCACGTACAGCCGAGCGTACGCCCAGGCCGTGTTGCTCAGCTCCTGCGGCCTGCGGGAACAGACCGAAGGAACGAGAACGACAGCAAGAGAGGCCGAGAGAGAGGCAGGGAGACAGAGACAGAGAGGCCGAGAAGAGAGAGACATACAACGAAGACAACAGCGGAGGAAGATGGGGTCAGCAAGCAAAATGTGTGAATGGTAACTTTTGAGACGTCACTTCAGCGCCCCGGTACTCAACCTACCAAACACCGTATCAAACACCAGTCTCGAGGGAACTCTGTAACGTCTGACAGTAGGCGGGGGGTTGGTTCATGCCACCACTGCCGGCGGCTCTCCCGCGTCAACCCAGGTCTCTCACCCTCTCTCGTTCTACTTCCAATACGGCGCACCGGGACCGTCTACCCATAACAACCCAGGTCTCTCACTCCCTCTCTCTCTCTAGAACATTTCGTGGCTATGCCCTGTCTTCGCGTGCGCCTTCGAAAGGATAAAAATATCAAGGTTCCATTTAGTACAGTATAGTATTTATATTTCAGTATCGAAACCCGTACTGAACCGCCAGTACCAGTACAGTATGGATGATTGAATACTGTACTGGGTCGAGTATAGTATTGAGAGCTGTACTAAACGCAATAGTACTATAGTACAGTATTGAGAGCTGTACTAAACGCAATAGTACGTATAGTACAGTATTGAGAGCTGTACTAAACGCAATAGTACGTATAGTACAGTAT